GAATGCCTTATATTTGAGTTTTTGTGTCGTGTTGCTGAATCTTTGACGATGTTATCCTCTAGAATGCCTTTTATTTGAGTTTTTGTGTCGTTGTGTTGCTGAATCTTTGACGATGTTACCCTCTAGAATGCCTTTTATTTGAGTTTTTGTGTCGTTGTGTTGCTGAATCTTTGACGATGTTACCCTCTAAAATGCCTTATATTTCAGTTTTTGTGTCGTTGTGTTGCTGAATCTTTGACGATGTTACCCTCTAAAATGCCTTTTATTTAGCTGTTTGTGTCGTTTTATTACTGAAGCTTTGACGCAAATCACACATCTCCTACATTAAAAACTTTTGGCAAAACCTACATGTTATCTTCAAGTAACATTATTTTGAAAAAGATTAAAATCCAAAAATCTCAATCAGTTAAAAATGAGTTAGTTTTCGAAGACAAATCATTTCATTTTTCTGCATTGAAAATTATTACTAATTATAATGTTCAATACTCCATAAAAATTGTGTTTAATAACCACATGAACAGAATGGTATTTCAATAAATGGTTATTCATCAGAATGTCGACAAAATGACGAAAAAATATTTTCAATATATGCAAATTCAATCTATTCTATAACACGCCTCTATATTAATTCAAAAAGAGGTTCATAGATTTTGTATTGCCCATCTGACAATTCGTCCATTAGTTGCGTAACAGAAAATTGCTTTAAAAAAATATCTTTTATTTCAAATGATAAACTTATTATAGATACCAGGCTTAAAATTGTGTACACCTGATGCGCGATTTGTTTAACAAAGAAACATCAATGGTGCTCGAATTAAAATATATAGTAAATAAAGTCCAAATAAAGTATAATGTTGAAGAGCATTGACGACTCAAAATTCCAAAGGTTTTACCAAATACAGTTAACGTATTCTATCCATGGGGTGTAGATAAAGGCAACAGTAGTATACCGCTGTTCGAATTCTTAGTATTTCGAAAAATTAAAACAGCTTAAGTATTTATGATTATGACAATATCTGGAATTGTTTCGTGTATCCTCTAAATTTACAAAACGTTCGCCTTGAAGTCCAGATGAAACAAATTTTATAAACTGGCTCAATAGAATGATAATTTATCACTCGTTGTTATCGTATTCACTGGACCGAAACCAAATGAGATTAATTTGTATCAACTTGCCTAGTTTTGATTAAAGTGACCATGTAGTTTCAGACAAGCAGATGTAACTTTTTTTTCATTGGATATACGTGTTTATATGATCAAAGTCACCATTTTTGCAAATTGATCAATATCAAATAAGGATCGCTTTAAGGTTCATGTGGACTCTTTGGCTCAAATGGCAGTGTTTTTACCCGAAAATGCACTTTAAGTACAGACAAACCTATGTATTCGTTTTAACCATAGGGTCCACATGAACCTTAAGAAAGTCTGTAAAAGGGAGGCGAACGATACCAAAGTCTGACAATGCCATGGCAAAAAACTAATAAACTGTTAACACAGAGATATGTCTCGCCTATTTGTTATTTTGATAATGCAAATGTTGAAATTAAAATAGCAATACTTAAACATGTAAGTTATGCAAATATTCAAAGTCAATGAACCATGACTGAAAGTATAGGGCTAAACAATCTCCATTGAAATGAGATGTGCCAATGCTAATACAACTGCAAACCAAATACCATTGACTTTTCATAAGTCGTTCCCTTTAAACAAACCTAAATAGTTATCAAAGGTACCAGGATTATACCACAAACATTAACTTGTAAACTATGTAAAAGTTTCAAAGTCAATGAACCATAATTAGGGGGTGAGGTTATATAATCTCCATGGAAATGAAACTTGCAAATGCCAAGACATTTGCATATCTAATACCATTGACTTAACATTAGTGGTTCATCTTACACTGACCTAATCACAAACTAATACATGTAAACTAAGCAAAAGTTTCAAAGTCAATAGACCATGACTGAGGGGATAAGGACCAAATATTCTCCATGGAAATGGGATATGCTAATGCTTATATAACTGCATACCAATTATCATTGACCTACCACTAGTGGTTCCCCATAAACTGACCTAACCACAAACTAATACATGAAAACTAAGCAAAGTTCCAAAGTCAATAGACCTTGACTGAGGGGGCGGGGCCAAATAATCTCCATGGTAATGAGATGTGCCAATGTTAATACAACTGCATACCAAATATCATTGACCTACCACTTGTGGTTCCCCGTAAACTGACCTAATCACAAACTAATACATGTAAACTAAGCAAAGTTTCAAAGTCAATAGACCTTGACTGAAGGGGCGGGACCAAATAATCTCCATGGCAATGAGATGTGCTAATGCTAATACAACTGCATACCAAATATCATTGAACTACCACTAGTGGTTCCCCATGAACTAGACCTAACCACAAACTAATACATTGTTGACGCCGCCGCCGCCGCCGCCGGAAACAGCATACCTATGTCTCGCTTTTCGACTCCGTCAAAGCGAGACAAAAACGGTTAAAAGACAAACAACAGTATACAAAACACAACATAGAAAACTAAAGACTGATCTCGATCAACACAAATCCCAGCCTTAATAAGGGGTGATCTCAGGTGCTCTGGAAGGGTAACAAGTTCTCCTCCACATTTGGCACACGTCGTGGTGCTCATTAAGTGCAAATAGTTCGAATTCGGTGGTCACATTCGAGGAAAAAAGGACGAGATGGTTTTTACGACAATTGGCACATATCCGTCGTCATATGTAGGACAGATATTCCATAAGGGTTAATCAACTCGTGACGGGTCCGTTAAATTTTCAAAGGGATGACTGTTGCTCAGTCTATAGTTTTTAAATGTTGTGTTTTCTAGCTGTTTTGTGTTGTGTTGCTTGTCTTTTCGTCAGTGTTCCGTTTTTTTGCCATGTCATTGTCAGCTTGTTTTTGTTTATGAGTTTAAATATCCGTTTGGTATGTTTCGCCTCTCTGTTATATGGAACGAGAACTGCTTTTCTTTTTGGATCAACTGAGTTCACTTCGGTTGATATATATTGTATATGCATGCATATTAATTGACGATAGGAACACGTATGACCTGAATGTCAAATCGCGTATACGCTTGACTTGAATTAGATAATGAGCGGTCAGTGGTATTTTCAAAAGAAGTTTAGCGTCCCTAATTTCCAATTGTTCAAGTATCTACCTTAGTCGTTTGGTCGTAAGTACTTTGGTGTATTTAACGACTAGCCTTTAATGTTTATAGAATTAAGAAGTGTGACATTTGTTATCATGATTTTTCGTTTCAAAAACAAGACGCATTTATAAAGTTAATATATAACTGGTTATTAATTTGGTTGTTTTGAACCTTAAATTTTCTGTGTAGTGTTTTGTAAAAATTATTGTTCCGTCTTTCTGGTTTTTTTTTTCTTTTTTTCTACGACGTGTGGTTTGGGCTTGCTCCCTAGATATCTTTTTCTGTCTACTGCAACATAATCAGTACAACATGCACTCTTATTGTGTTGTGCTTTTTCACCACTGTACAATGGCGGATCCAGAAATTTTCATAAGGAAGGACCCACTGACTGCCCAAGTGTGGGCCCGCTCCAGTCATACTTCCCTAAATAATAAACCAAATTTTTCCCACAAAAAAGGGGGGCCCGGGCACCCTGCCCCCCCCCCCTAAATCCGCCTCTGCCTGTCCCAGGTTATAGGGGAAGATTAAGCACCGACGAACATGTATATTCCCGTCACATTCTTTATGTGTCTATCTCAAGTAAATAGCCTGTAATTCAGTGGTTGTTGAATTATATCTCTCATATTTGTTTTTTTTTATATAATTTCGTCATAAATCAGGCCTTTAGTTTTTTGTTTGACTTGTTTCAAATAGCTGGATGTACGGTTTTGTTTTCATTGTTTGAGACCATACGCTGATCTACAGATTCTTAATTAAGCTTTCTTTATTTTGATTTTTTGGATAGTTGTCTCAATGGGAATCATACAACATCTCCTTATTTTATATACAATTGAAGAACTGATTATATTCTACACTTACAATAAGAAATATTGAGCTTAGTAGTATATCGAGTCAAACCCATCATATCATATATCAGGCCTTTGGTGTTGGTATCATTTTGCATAGAGTAAATAGGCATAAATTAGATAAATGTAGTTAATCAGAGAAAAATATCTATACCAATAAATGTATTTCAGCTAATCAATTAAATATGTCAGGCAAAATTATTAGCCTCAGCATGTAGAAACTCATCAAAGATATCAGGCTTTATGTACATCAGACGTGCATTTCGTCTACATAAGTCATCAGTGACGATCAAATCAAAACTGTTGAAAGGTAAAATTAAACCGAAAATTCCAAAAAGCTGTTCCATGTAAAAAGTAAGATAATAAAAATACCGAACTCCAAGGAGAATTCAAAACGGAAAGTCCCTTAACAAATGGCAAAATCAAAAGCCCAAACACAACAAACGAACGGAAAACAACTGTCATATTCCTGACTTGGTATAGGTATTTTTTGTAGTAGAAAATGGTGGATTAAATATGGTTTTAGAGCTAGGTAAACCTCTCACTTGTTTGACAGTCGTGTAAAATTCTATTGTATTGACAATACTGTGCGAGAAAAACAAACACCAATATAGGTATTAATGTCAAAAATTGGTGTACAGGCAGTCAACATTGTGTTGTTATCTTAATCACTATAAAAACAAACAACTATGTCAACAAAGAAAAACAAAATGGCATGTAGACACTCTATAGACAAAGCACATAAGCAAAATTGATAGACAAGAATACAAAAAATGACCCGTCATTCAAACTTTTTATGAAAGATTTTCAATAAAATCATCAATATTCAACGAATCTTACTTTTAAATTTCTTGTCTTTTCGACGTAAAAGGGACGATGTCGGTTTTCTCTCACATCAGATCGGTAGTTACTTACTTATTTGCTAGACATGTATTTTATAAATGCTGCGAATGTACGCCTATATGAATTAAATACATTTGTGATATACATTTTAATTTTAAATCTAATGATGTAGCCTTTGGTTGAGGGATTCCATGATCTTTTATTTGTTATTTTCCACCTACATGTATCCATCGTGTTGGAGTCGGGGTTGGTTTTATATGAATCCAAGATGTAGTTTTTGGTGAAGAATTTCGTCCTGTAAAGCAAAAATTCTTTTTTAATACTGCAGTGATAAAGCATCGAATACTACATTGACTGATATTGTCTTTTCAAGTACATGATTTCTTATAAATTTCTATGTGTCCGAACCGCATTCCTGGATTTACTTTCATTAGGAAACTCAAAGCAGAATATTTGAAAGCCAAGGATGTATAAGAACAGAAACAGTTGAAGAGCTATATGACCAAAAAGGGAAATAAATGTATAGAGAACGAACTAGACGTTACGCACGATATTGCGTCTCAATTGGTAACGTCAAAATTTGACGTTTTATGCCAGTAATCGAGGATACTTTGTTCGTTTTGTCGGTAATCTTTTTTGATCGATATGGATACTTCTAAGTCTTGAATATGCATGAAATACTTCCTACTGGAAGTTACGCAAGCTAAAAACAGTACAAAATATGTATTTGGGTGAGATAATAGTGCCTATATAATGTAATATAATACATTGTTCCCCCATTAAATCTGAGCTGAGAACAGGGAGGAATGAGGCAGCTACTCATTTTGCTTTAATAAAGAAGTCTGGGTGTTTTGTCGTGTTTTTGTTTTTTATTTTATTTTTTTTTGGGGGGGGGGGGGGGGGGGAGGCGGGGGAGTTGATGAAAAGTGAAAGGGTCTTACTAAAAAAGTTAAATATGGAAAAAAAATATTCAACACTACTATTTTTCATAACTGAACAATTCGATTAAGAAAGAAAATACTTGCGTGAAAAAATAATTATATTCATCTGATATGTTTACAAGCTTTGTATAATATCGAGGTGTAACTCTTCAGGTACAACAATTTTACTGTCACTTTCAAGTTCAGCACAAATGAATCGTATTGCAGAGGAATAGCAAATCGCAGTTTTACGCTTCACAAGTTTGAAAATTAACGGTTGATTTTTTATCCTCTCGTAATACAGTCCTTTCACAACTTTGGAACCTCGGTTAAACGAACAACCCCAGTCATCTGAAATATTTTTTTTTATAATGTGAGGTCTTTTTGACACTTTTAAAAGATAATACTCATAATCAATATCGTCTGCCAAAACCGCAATTATCATGTCCTTTTCAACAGTGTCTTCAATTATATTATCATTTGTATTGCAATGGTCATCATTTTTTTCGGAATTCGAGTTATCATTTTGAATCATTTTCACTCTTTTGGAATTTCCTATCAATTGCGTTTTCTCACACTCGTTTATTGCTCCATTTAAACAGTTATCACAATTATAACACGATAAGTCGCGGACAAGAAGATCTGTAGAATAATTTGTTGATATGATTTGGTGTATCTTGCGATTTTGATCCACGGGTTTAAAGTTTATATTATGGAGACGAGGAATTTCAGCAATGTATTTGAATAGCCGTTTTTTATATATTCCACTCTGTGGATTCTGGAGATTTTTCTGAGCAAAATCATAAAGGTCACACGCCGTCTGAATTTTAGTTTTACCCCGGAGCACGGCGGAGTCCGCTTGATTCTTTAGAAAACCACCGGCAGCATCGTGTGGGCCTTTGCCATGCGAGGTTTCAAAATAGTTTCTAATTAAAACGTCGTACCCTAGATCCGATCTATGTGTACAAACATCGCCCATACAGTTTCGGCTTTTATACTGAGCACTGCAACCGTCGGTAAATTCATGCATAATCTTAATTTCAGCAGATATCGATTTCACGTATTTTGAAATGAGAGTTTGGACATATCCAGTATAATGACGGTCATGATCCAAGTCTGGACTAATGACAAAAAACTGTTCACTAACTATTACCGGTGAATCTAATGTACTGTCGATCCCGTCTACCTCAAGAATAGCATGCCTGCTTAAAATTGTAACGTGTATGCTAACCTCGGTTCTCTGAAAGTATGCTGATTGGATTTCAGTCCGTTCGGAACATCGGTAGTTCTCAGAGAAATCGTGAATACAAACTGCGTGATTGGTTGGAAGATTTTGAACAATATTTCTATACTGTTCACTTTGCCAGTTAGCTCTATTTTGATGAGCTGGAAAAGTTTCGAGTAGTGATTTAAAATGGTTAAACATTTCGCCAGGTTTTTACTAACTAACATAAGTTTTGTTCTTGTTTTTCTGCCTTTCACGTTTATTTCAGTGTATTCAAATTTTTCCCACATAATGTCGCGAGCATTTCTAGATATGTCTAGTTCATTGTCGTGGAAGGACAATTTTTCAACTCCACATTCTTTTCAAGACCGATTTAAACACTTTGCGTGCGGTGCAGTCTTATCACATAAAGTGTCAGCACATATGTCATTTAAATGTTCAAAAACTGGTAAGTTCTCTTGGGTCAAGTCCAGATTACTTGCATGCAAATTTTTCCGAAATTCCATACATTTAATTTTTAAAAAGAATTCGAACCTCTATATGCTGCCGACAACAACATGTATTGCGATGTTTTTGTTTGACTGGCATCACGAAAAACGGCTTGTAACTTTCAAACAAACGTTGTGATATTTTAAAATCTGGATATTTCGCTTTGAACTCTAAAACACTTCAGTTTGCGTTTTTTCGAGCAGGTGTATTTGATGAGAAACATATTCATGAGGCCCTATCCGTGAGCGTTTCACGTCTGTTTTGTTAGAACTTGTGCGCGAAACCATAGGGGATATCCAGAAATCATAAGCCTGTTTTTTTGTTTCATCAGAAGTAATGTCAGATCTTGTTTTCCTCTTTGTGAATTCGTAACAAGATTTTTCTGATCTCAAAACAGAAGTGCGAATTCTTTGACCACCAGAAAGTCGCCGCGGCTGCAATCCCAACTTACGCGCTGCTTTGCTTTTTTCTCCTTTTGAAATTTTTTCACCGCTGACAGAAGCCGATATTACATGCATAGCGTTACGTGCATCAGAATTTCTTTTCTGTTTTGTTTCATGTATGAATCCCTTCACATTTTCTAAGACCTTTTCAGAGAGAGATGGACTCTGTCGTTTTAAAGATTGTTTTGCTGTTGGTGAAATACACAGATAGTGTTGTAGTATAGCTTGTTTTTTAATTGGAGATGATGGTAGAGCGTCCTTAAGCCTTTTCAGTGCCCTGCATTTGGCCATCTTATTTTTAAATATTGCATTTCGAATTTCGTCATTTTGATTTTTTGTTTGTTTTGCTTTTTGTGTTTTGTCTCGTGACCGACGTTTATATTGATTCTGTTTTACTTTCTTTTCTTTGATTTTCTGCCTTTGATTTCTTTTATATAAAGCGCTTTTGGACACCTCACTTTTCGGACTTCTGATTCGGCTTGCGTTGTATTTGTCTTTATATTTATTGTAACTTTTATTTTTCTGCTCTTTTCTTTTTAGTTTATTCATCTCTTAATAATATTAATTCTCTCTGTTCCGGACATAAAATTCTTCTTTTCTGCAATTAATATTTTACCTATGTATTGACAAATTACCATATTTGTTTCATTTTAGATAATAATTTAATTTCTTTTTGTTAAATACTACTAGTATATATTTTTCCTTTAAAGTTGTTATCTTCGTTTCTAACATAGCCGTATAAAGTTCTTTCGATACTTGAACAGTTAATAGCGAAATTTATAAGTTTGTTATTCTGTTTTGTCCTCTGATCTTAACATGAAATCGAACCGTACTTGTTACTTGAAAACAATAGATTATCGTTCATATATTATATGATAATACGAAAAGCTTTCAATTTCGATGGCCTAGATGGGTGAGTGGCCTTAGGGGTTCATATAGTGATCACGAGCCTGGCGATTTTAAAATACGCTCGTGGCGAAATTTGTTGGACTCCGATCCTAATTGACAGTTAGTGTCAGTTATCTAACCGAAGGTCGCCTGATGTCCGGCTTCCTCCACCTATTAATAAAGTTCGATAAAAGTCGCTTATAGTGGCGTTCAACACCAAAACACAAAACAAACATTTAGATTTAATTTGAAAACACACATATATATAGCGTCCCGAATCGACAACGTTCAAAACGTAAGAAAATTGTAAAGTGGACAAACTTGCAAGACATTGGATTTGTTAAAAAACGAAGTCGTTTCGACTTAACAACTTATCAAAAAGTATGTAACTGTTATGTGGGGTTAAAGTACAATTACGCAAAATCACTATTTTGTATGCTACAAATCGAATATTTTATTAAATGACGTCGAAACTGACAGTTTACTTGTAAAAAGCGGCGAAATTCGACATTGGACATTCTTGCAAGACATTTGTCCAAAGCCAATGCGTTTTTATTTGTGATGCGAGTGCTGTAAAAATCCGGATTTGAAATGGTCTATCTATGTACTTTTGTGGGAATAATTTATGAAAACGAAATTTCATATCATCTAATATTTTAAAAAGCCATAACTTTTGATAACTTACCATTTTCTGAAATCTGACCATCGTGAAGATTATTCATTTTTGAAAAAATCAGATTTGACCGTTGCATCAACGCAAAAATCAGCAATGACGTCATAAATTATATATGACGTTTATCATTCATGTGAATTTTCGCGGATTTTACACTCTTTCTAAGAGCACAAAAACTCCCGTAAAAGTTATTATGCGTATAATTTGTTACGTCTGACACGCATATTTTTGACGTTTTGACAATATTTGTATCATTATTTTACACTATTATGAAAAGTTATAAAATAATGTTTTATCTTTTTGGAAACAGTAATACCTGCCTAGTCGATGGATTTTAATTTTATAAAGCTTAACTATTTAGATTTCATAGAAGAGCTGTTTATCCAAGTGCTCTGTCGGATTTCACGGCATTGACGCAATAGCGTGCTTAACGTCACTAAACTTTGTATTCGGTATAGCATGCTGTCAGAGACTGTAAAAACAAAACTTTACTGGATGGCTAGACATGTAAGGCTAATGGAAAGATTTATTACAACAACAATTTTGAGCGGATGATGGTTGAACTACGGTTGTCGTGGTTTATTACAACTCCTAGTAATTCTTCACAATATAATGCATTCTCGGTGTCATTTTAATAAAGGTATACCAAAACTTGTGGTTTTCTGACAACATCTTACACAAATAGAAATTTACCCAATCACATGACGTAATTTTCTTTAAGAGGCCCGAAAAATGAAATAACCCACAGTGTTTTAAATTTGATACTGCAATTTCAAACACTACAAACAATTTAAATTGGTAGCCAATGCAAGTTACACATTGCAGTAATGAAAGGAAACCAATTTGTTAGTAGATAAAAAGTTTACTGATATATCTTTATTGTGCTATGAAATTCTGTCAATACATTATTAAAGTGTTATTTTGCTCTTTAATAACTTTCGAGGATTTTGCTTGATAAGTGCATTAACTGGTAATTTTTCAATAAAATCGCCTTTCATAGACATTAGTTCATACCACAGAATTCAGAACAATATGATTATACAGTCAATATAAGCATCTTGTCAATATATATATTGTGTCTAACAAATGATTATAATTAGACGATTGTTCTCAAATTACGATTTATAAAAATGTCGTTAATAAAACTAAATTGAACTAAATAATTTGAAAATGATAGTTAATCGTGATAGGGCAATGTCTACAAGCTGGTATACTGACTTATTTAGAAACATTCATTTTTTCTTTCGTTGGTTTGACTATTCTAAATACTCTGTGGCCATTCATAAATACTTAACGACATATGATCTAGAAGATAGACGTTTGTGCGCACGAAAATAGGTTTTAACCCAGAACATTTTGTGCATATACTGCGGCAGGCTGTTAATGGACCATGCGGGTTTTTTTTAATGTTGGCTGTCTTTGCATGTACGCGAATATTTATCAGGAGTTAGGTGTTGGTGTGGTCTTTTATACTGCCAAATACTTTTAATTATTATGATATTCGATTTTAATATATGGTGATTACTGTTATTTTTGTTAGGTGTTATTGGGTTTTTTTTTGTACTATTTCAAATTTGGGGATTTAAACATTAGATATGCCTAAGCAATAACTTTATTTTAACCTTTACATATAGTATACATTTGTTTTTGATGGATATATAATGTAGGTAATTGGATAATGTTATCTTACTTGAACATAGACCACATGTTGCTTTACAGTAGTTCTTCAAAGTTGTGTCATTGCAAACAGCTTTGTTTTTACAATTAACTAGGTTACTATCAGAACATGGCGCTACAAAAGAAAAAAAAATCAAAATTATGTTGTCAATATCTTAATAACAAACTACGATGATTCCGACCATAATATGACTGAACTGATTATAATTTGACAAAATTTAAATTAACCCGAAGAATATTCGTAAAATTTGTAATTTACTATTATTATAATCGACATGACAAGTCTGCCTTAAATTTTACCGTATGGTAAATGCTTTTGACCACGTATAATCCTCATATATATTTATTACTATACTTTTATTATATTCATTTTTCACACAACTTTACATCAATATTTGCATGATAATCAATACTTATAATGAATCCAATAGTAAAGTAATCTTTTTCCTGCAATGACCCCCATTATTTCATATATTTTTTTATATCCCATACCATCATTTTCATTGGAAAAAACTCAACTCCCTACTTTTTGTTAGTAATATAGTTTCTTTTTTAACTTACTACACATTTTACATGTCAATGGACAGTAGGTTTTCAAAGCACCCACACTGCAAATAGAAGAAGAACACATTACACGTGGGTCATCCATGCAGCTAGATAACGGTGTCTGGATTGGTGTTGCAGCTGTTGTTGTAGTTTTAACTGAAAGATGAAATAATAAAATTATGTTCTTTTGGTTGAAGAAAATATAAATAAGACAAAATGTATTTTTCTGGGGTAAACCTGAATTTCTAAGGCAGATTAAGGGTACAGAGAGAGAAGTTGCGAAATGATAATTTCAGTCGGTATTCAGCATTTTTTTTTGTAGTTTGTCTAGTTAAGAGTATACGTGTTTTGCTAAAACTGCTATTATGCGAACAAATGAAAAATGGAAACACATTAATCCTTTGCACAGTGTATGTTACTTCTCAGAATGGCGAGTTTCAAATAGGAATACTTAAATCGTTAATGTTGTCATATTCTTCTTAAGCCTTAATTAAAAAAAAAACGACAATGCAAACCTTCTCAATTTTATAGTATCCTTATTATTAATACATATAATTGGTTAACGTGCTAATAATTGGGATCAAGCTTCTAAAACTGTGTAAACATACATCTAACACAAACATACACAACAACTGACTTAAAAAATCGAACAAACATGCAAATAAATCTGACAAAGATGCAAAAAAAAATATAGTTTATAGTTCATACAGTACAATAAAACATAATGAAATATACACTTTGCCGATAAAGTACAGATTAAGGAAAATATAAAAACAAAAGAAAACGGATCTCCTTAATGATTTATCAGTTGTATGCAAAAATGTCTGTCAAGCAATACAGGCTCCTTAGACTATCTAGTTTAAAATTTACGTTCTTACCTTTGGTGGTGGTGTACAAGTGAAAACTTATCAAAGATACCAGACTTATAATATATAACCACAGACGAGCGTTCTGTTAACGTAGAGACTCGTCAGTGGCTCTAGAATCAAAACAGTTGGAAGGTCAAATAAAATACGAAGTTAAAGAGCATTAAACAATTAAAAAAATTGTGTCGAATAGGGCTAGGACAATCATGCTCTGATATTAACAGTAAATTTATAAAAAATAAACACATCAGTGTTAACTACTGGGCTGATGATTCCCTCGGGGACGAAACGTCCTGATCAAAGATACCAGGCTCATAGCTTAGTACGCCAGACTAAACACTAAGCCGTTACGCACGGAACTGGTGACACTCAAGAAAAAATACCGTGTCATAAGCAACAATTGGTCACTATATTGTCGTTGCTACTGGAAAACATATAATTTTACATCAAAATAAAGCTGAATGTCTTGGGAATTTATTTTAAGTCTTGAATGACATTTTAATACAAGTGTATGTGAATAAACCGAACACGATTTTAAAAAATAACGTCATTTTTCTCCTGTCCCGCGTTACAAATAGATGCCGATATCTGGGCAAAATGTGCTGAAGATTGGTGATTTTTTCACCAAAAGTCACCATTTTCGGGCAGCGCAACGTTCAAGGTCATAGCATTGTGACGTCAAAAAATTTGAACACAACCAGTACTAGAAGCGAAGCAATGGGCCCCTGAATGAGATATTAAAAAGTGTCCCACAAGCAGGGAAATATTTTAGCCGAACTTACGGACTTGATTTTTATGAACAGAATAATTTATTTTTTTTCTTTGTTGTTACGTCGGTTTACACATGTCGGAATTTTTCTCATGTCCAAGAATTTGTCACAAGTACAGTTTTCACACATTTTCCGGCACTAATCCGTCGAATGAGATTAAATCAATTTGTTTTATTGAATATTTCCTTAATTCTATTTACCGCATTAAAAAGTACAAACCTTTCTTCGCATTTTGAGCCTTGAAACATGACAATGCGCCCAGGTTTGCACAAATTACAAACAAAACCGCATGTCCAATAAAATGTCACATACATGGAACTCCGTTTTTGAAAGTTACACGTAACGTTACAGACGTTTTTTGTTGTTGATAATTGTCAAAATGATTAATGTATGCATTGTATGGCCTTTCGAGGGCCCCTGATTTGAATAAATAAATTAGTCTATTCAGAAGCGAGAAACAAATTCGCTCCTAATAATTTGAAGATTACATTATCTGTGAAAGTCAATCGGATATTATTAAGCTATTCAAGATTACCTGCAAGTGTTTGTATTTGTATTTATTTTTTGTCATCGTAAATCTGTCCTAATCGTATCTAAAATAAATTATATAATAAAACTTTCATAATTATTTCAGTGAAAAAAAAAGGATGTCATCTAAGGAAGGACTTGAACGGTACAAACAAGAAAAGCTTCAAAAGCGACGAGAACAAAGGCTTGAATCTTATTACAGAAATAGAAATCTAAAGGAAAACGAGTATGCTTTATCAGATGAGGCAGTACGCCAAAGACAACATAGAGAGAAACAAGAGAAAGAACAAATGAGACGGGTCAAAGAAACGGAGAGAAAACGGAAATATAGAAAGAGAAAACGTGAAGAAAATATCAATGATCAAAGGCAAAACGAGGATTTAAATATGCGAAATACTTTCGAGAATAGAACAGAAAAACATCGGGCATTGAAGAAACTGAAACTGGCCCTACCAAAGAGCCCAGACAGGCGGGTGACAACCATGGTCGCATACTTGCAAAATTCGAACTCGCCGACTGTGAGAAAACTGCAATCTTCTGAAGTGATTTCTTCGCCGGAGGAAATAGAAGAACACAAAACATCAAAAGCCTTGACGGAAGATTTAAAAACAGTTATTGACAACTGTAAGAGGAAAAGATCGGATGACTCTTTTAAAAAGATGAATTATTTCATCAGTAAGTGGTGAAAAAATCAGTGACAATAAATGCAGAAAGAAACTGGCTAGGAAATTGGGATTACCGGTAAGAAGAGTTAGCCGTGGTCATGCAATTAGAACAAGAATACTTAAATCTGAAAAATCAAGCTGGACTTACACAAATAGAAAAACTAGATCAGATGCAATAACACCTGACACGAAGAAACGTATTTATGAGTTCTGGTGTAAGCCTGGTATGTCTCGTCCGACTGGTAACAAGGCAGATATCAAAAGGGTCCGCATTGGTCCGAAAAGTTATTCAAGCCACATGACACACATACTAGAAAAAACACAGACCGATGTGTATTTGGACTTTATCGGAGAAAACCCCTCTATTAAAATAGCTCAAAGAATGTCCGAAAGGTGCAAACTCTACTTTGTGCGACCCGTCCGACCTAAGGATAGACAAACATGTTGCTGCAAGTAACATGTAGCATTTAAAACTGTCTTTAAATCGTGTATGGAATTCCGAAAGAAACTTTTGATAGAAAATGAACCGAATGAATGCTATTCTACTCCTGTGTACGATTCAATATCTGATGTCGTTAATGCAACATTATGCGAAAAAGTTGATGGTTCACACAATTTACAGTGCCTTAAAAGAAACTGTTCCGATTGTGGAGTTAAAATCCTGAATTTTCTGCCTTGTGAACTTGATGTATCTGACACTGCGGAATTTGTAAAGTGGGAAAAGTTTGAAAATGTAAGCGTTAATGTTAAAGGGAACAAAACCATAAAGAAACTAATGCTCGTGAAAAAAGAAAGTCAAGTTGGTGAATTGTTTTCATATTTCAGAAAACTAATTGAAACTTTTCCAGTGCATCAGCACAGAGCTACATGGCAAAATGAACAATTTCAAAATCTTGTTAGAAATCTCACAGAAAAGCAATGTGTTTGTGTGCAAGACTTTAGTGAAAATTACAGGTGTTCCGAGCTTACTGCGATTCAAAGTGCTTACACTCAAAAAACCGAAGTGTCGGTCCATGTTACTATTCTACATAGACATGCATTGCTAGAATACGATGGTGTTGATAGTTCAGAAGACTTTCCAGAAATTATGACGGAACAATTTTTCGTTATAAGCCCAGACTTAGTTCATGATCAATACTTTGTTCACCAAGTCCGAAATTATATAGCGGAATATTTACAGTCGATTTCATATTCAGTAGAAACAATGCACGAGTTTACTGACGGGTGTGCAGCCCAGTATAAGAGCAGACACTGTTTCGGAGATATTAGTCAAACAAGCGACGACTTTGGATATCAACATTTCACAAGAAATTTCTTCGAAACTTCCGATGCAAAAGGTATTTATAATAATTTAGTTTATTATCCTCGAACTTACTACTATGATTGCCTTTAAATACAGTTGAATGTCAGTCCGTCTGTCAGTCTCTACGCTAGATATCTTGGACACAGATTTAATGATTTTTCTCACATTTTCGAGTACAATGGAATACATATTATTTAGCTTTTGATTGAATATTTATGAGTTATTTGTGTAAAATGTAAATATTTTAAAAGCGGTCGGGTATTCACATTATCGGTAAACTGTTTTCTTTCAATCCGTCACATTATGGGTTAATGTTTGAAAACATTATTCTAGGAGGTTTTTTTTACATGTTTTTTTTTATTATATCGAATTTGAAATAAATGTATTTTGATAAAACATGTGCGTCGGACTAAATTACACCTGACACAAAAATAAATACGTTGTATCAAGGAACAGGGCTTTTATTTCTATTCTTCATCTTGGCAGTCACTGTAGGGTATTGAATGTACTAGTATCTCTTATATTTCTCGTGACTTTCGGTATTGTTACTATTATAAAAATCATAAACCTTGAACGCGGTAAAATGGTAAGGTCCAATGTCATGCAGTTGACATAAAAAACTTATCTGTGCATTTCAGGACCACAAGACGCTGCTGGAGGAATTATTAAGAGACAAGCCGACTGTGCCATTTTACGCGGACAGACTCAGATAAGGACAGCAAAAGATCTCTATGAATACGCGAATTCATTTCTAACACAACCGAGGTCACATTGTAAGAGAAGAATATTCCGATATGCGGAAACGATTCACCGTGACAACAGACTGTCTTTTAAGCCGATGCCTAAATGATATTTACCTGCCTGACATGTGGAACCTGTGTACCCCGTATTACATGCACACGTGAAACTTGTCGGAGTGTTATTACAGACGCCATGTCCACTACAAGGATTTGAACTACAGTCTGGAATGAAATCAAACTTAAATTACCTTCTAGAATTATGTTGGAGAAACTAACAGTTATAATGATATTGAACATTAATTTGAAAATGATGAGATATAAATTTTTTTTCCCGCAGATTTTAATTGTATTGATTTAAATAGAGAGGGTTGTTTATGTCTTCCGATCACCACAAATTTTGTTCCATTGCAAAAACATTCTATAATTACTCAAACAATATATTTATTTAATTTTGACATTACTTTTGTTATTAATTTTCAATTTTATTAAACAAATTTATACATTCATTAGATATTTAAGTTTATAAGTAGTCCTTTTTAGGTTGGAAGAAATCCCTCATGAAAATATTTTAGCTATTTAAAATATAATAAAATACAAACATTGGAAAGACAAACATTCCTGGTATACAAAACGATCCTTGTACCGTCGTATTCAAACATATTTAGTTAATTTTCTTATTGGTTCGATAAGTAATAATCTTTCAGTATTAACATACTTATTTTCATATGAAAACGTATATTTAATCGCAAGAGAAATAGTATACCTCTTCTTAGTTATAATTTTGCTCATTACAAAAAGTTATCCTCGTAACTACATGCATGGTCCATGCTGTATTTACCCATGAAACGTTTACCTAGATCATAATGAGCATACTTTTTTTCATAGAGAATGATTTTCAGAAAAAAAGTTACAAAACGGATAAATGTGCTCAAATTACAAATAATAAAGGAATTGTATTTTATTAGTCAATACCATTCACAGCGAATTTGCTATCACAATAAAACCATAATAAAGCTACATACTATCAAATTAAGTATACTCACGATTTACAACTGTAACAAAGCAAGAAGAAAGTTGTGGTCAAACAAACGTTCAAAACAAACAAATAAAACAGAAAAATAAATTCAATTTATTAACTTTACAGTAAATACAGAATGGACTGAAAACTTTGCGCGATGTATCAACAACATTATTTCGGAAGTAAATATTGGGGTCTTTTTATTAATGTTTATCGTCAAATAACAGTGGTTTCTTTTTCAATAAACGAAAAAATACTTGTGATTCTTTTTTATCTTTTGTAAAAAACGCTTTAAGCTAAAATGTGCATAATAATCTTTTTTAGTAAACTTCATAGGACATATCCCTGACTAATTATCGACATAGAGCCACAGTTAATTATCAATCAATGTACCTGTTTGACATTGTAAACCAGTATAACCCTGATTGCATTTACATGTATATCCCATATTACTATTCTGACAAGCACCGTGTCCATTACAGGGATCCGGACTGCAGTCTGAGAATATATAAATAAAGTACTGGGAAGTTAAGGATTTTCAGCACTTGTAGGTAATACCACCAAATCATACTACGTCACATCCGGTTGCATACGAAAAAGGGTCTAAAAAAATATTCCCTTGAATTTGACAGTTGTAGGAAATTAATCCTACATTTTATTACAGTAAAAAATTTCTGAGTCATAAACATATATCTTGGGTGTTTCAAAGCACCCTTATTTTTTTATTTGGTGTTTCTATAGAGTATTTAGGAAAGTTGAGGTTACATGGTTACTAAAGCTTGTACACAGGAAAAAGGGGTGAAAATTTGATTGGTTAACTTCCAGTGATGGTTATTTTCTTATATGCAATGAAATGTTATGTGAAATTCTGTCTATAGTACTGGACAGGATAAAACTTTACTCATGCCAAGTATTTCTTTATTTGAAACAAAGATAAATTCTGCATAATTTTTTGAAAAGTGCAAATTTAACAAAGACTAATAGGGGAAATCAATGGTAGTATAATTACACCTGTAGACATGTATTGCGTTAAATTACGAGTATCAAGACTACAGTATAAGACAGTAAAAAAGTTATGAATTTATTTCTTTTTATTTCTTTTTCATACAGACAGAATTGTGTTTGTTTGACCCACACAAAGTACAATTATTAGTAAATAACTGGATAATCAAAATAAGAAGGAGAAGATGTGGTGCATATGTCATGATAAAGTAATATGTAGACAACAACTAAAATGGAAAAGGACGTCAATAACACTACTTTCGGTATAAACAATAGAATGGGTATAAGGCATACATTAAGTTCTGATATTTACTCCGAATTTAAACAGTGTTACTCAGGTTGTCATAGATAAGTATGAAGGTCTGCAACAACACTAAATTTAATTATAATGTTTTAAAAAAGGTTTTTACTTACGATTGATCACTGTAATAAAATTAAACGTGCTTGTAATGAGAACACTGTTCAAAGTAAAAACGTCATTAAACCATTTAAAATATTCAGAATAAACAGAAGAAAAAAATATATTCGCACTTCCATTACATTAATAAATATTATATTAATTTAAAAACAATCGGTCGGGTGAAATAATTTGAAATACACAAACATACTAATGATGTGAAGACAAAAATAACAACACTGAAATAAAAACAAGCATTTATTTAGTTTTAATATCGTATTTACCTTCATGCACCTCGAACCAGTATATCCTGTATCATGTGAATACATAAACCACGTCATGACAAATTTCACTTCAATAGATCGGATCATAGTTTTCAATCGATTTAAATTTGCAGTTTTGAGTGGTTTTAATTGATTTTCATTTTAACAATACATTTTCGAACAACATAACATTTACACTACCTATTCTTTGTATGAAAAACAAAAATGTTATCGAACGAAATAATTCAAATACAGCTTCATGGTAGTTATGTAATTATCCAAGACCCTGAATATTTTTAAGTTTAAGGTTTTTGTGATAAGATAAATAGAGGATTTTACTCTTGTTGTCATCCAATCAGAACCATTGATACAAAATGATTGCATTAGAATTGTGCTTACCCTTCTGACATCCTGAGCCTATATACCCTCTGTTGCATGTACATGTGAAACCTGTCAGGCTGTTTTTGCAGACGCCATGACCACTACAAGGATCTGGATAACAGTCTAAATTCAAATCAAAACTATTTTATACTTTTTGAATAAGACGTAATTAAATTAATTGATTTTGTTTTAAATTACAATATTAGTGACGATACTGATTGCATAAAATATGTAGATTTGTTGAAACTTTATTTAACTTCAACAATGTTAACAAAGATGACTTACTTCTACTCACAAACATTGTTGTATTTAAGTCATAGTTGTGGTTTATACTCATGTGTGCAGTCAATCAGATTTTTGCGCTCCTTTTTGAAGTTCATGCGACTTCCTCAAGTTTTATTTTACCTTGTTTTGTATGTTTTGAATTGATTTATGAGATTAACATAAATCACACTTTGAACGTTTTTCTTAAAAGTTTTGCCTATATAGATATTGCTAATGCTTTCTGATTTATTTTTCTCCCCATAGTCTGTGCAATATTGAAGAACATCTTCAAAGATACCAGGCTTATAATTTAAAACGTCATACGCGCGATTCTTCTTCATAAAAAAGCATCAGAGGCACTCGATTTTGAACCTGCGTATACTGCACCACAACTACAACTGAAACCAGTCAGGCTGTTTTTACAAGAGACTGCAAGAATTTCGACTGCAGTCTAGATTGAAATAAAATGTATTACATCTTTTGTAATTAGAACTATCAATTATACTTAAAATTAAATTCAGGAACATAACCATAAAAAATTAATATTGACCAATTCCGTTTGGGCACATTTCAACTCTACTTGTGTATCTATAAACTTGTAAAGCAGATCTGTACATTTTTCAATGATGCTTATAAGCTTTCAAAGATTGAATTTTATTAGTAAGCACAGATATATTGTGTACGCATAATTTGCATACTGTCTAATTGTATTTGTCATATTTGTATCAGCCTGCTCTTTAAAATGATTTCTTTGCACTAATATTTTTTAAATTTCACTTTTAAATAACGGACGCCATCGAGTTGATTTATGTTCACGGAATACATGCATCGCCGACACAGATAACAACGGATTTATTTCATTTTGGGTCAATATACAGTCCCGTTTTTTTTCTAGATTCTGATTATCAACAAATATACGATTTCTATCGATCATCAGATTTTAACATGTCATTTATCGAGAGCTTAAGTAGAAAAGTAGCAGCTTTCGGGAAAGCTGACTTTGGATTCAATATCGGTTTTAATAAAATCTTTCCCAGTGAAATACATAATGTTTTCTTCTGTTCTTTGGACATGGTGTTGTCTCTTCTTCTTCGATTTTTCACCGTTGTCCTTTTTTTCCTTAATATTTCCAACGACATTTATAATCAGTCAAAAGTAAAACACCCGTTGACAGGAAAATATTACAAACAAAATTTAAATTCAATTTGCCAATATCTGTTTAGTCATAATGATTATAAAATATTTATATCATACTTA